CATCCATCCCCCTCCCCAACCTCGGGCCAGCTTGGTGGTGGGGGGTCCCATGGAGGTGAGGAAGGGTGGAGAACCTCCCCATAGTGGTCATGGAGTGCCACCAAGCTGGGTGTCCCCAAGCCAAGGCTGCCAGAGGAGGGGGACCCCACCGGGTCATGCTCCCAGCCCCTCCATCATGGGTTGAGGTGGGGATGGGGGGCGCAGAGAAGCTCAGCCATGGGGGGGGACAGGTTTCGTTTGGCCAACGGAGAAGGACGAGCAGGTGATGGGCCAGCGGGGGGAGCGGCGGTGGCCATCGTTGGCCATGCAGCACATGCGTGGCACGGCCCATGCAGGTTGGCAGGAGCCCCGGGCACCGCGGTGATGCCCACAGCGACCTGAAAAGCTGGTGGCATCAAGACCAGGGGGTCCAGCCCTCGCAGGGGGCGTCCCGTTCGCCCCCACCCCAGGACCACCAGGTCCTGGACCTGGTCCAGGACCACCCCAGACCACCTTCAGCAGCACCAGCCCACCTTCCCCCGCGTGGCAAAGCGGTGCCATCGTGCATTGCCAGCAGCGGGGGACAGGATGGGACGGGGGGGGAGAGGGATGGAGGGAGGGGGGGAGATAAATAGCTTAAAAATAATAATAAATTAAAAAAAAAGAGGTGAAGAAAGAGCAAAAAGTGAGAAGAAGAGAGAGAGAGGAGGGAGGGAAGTTGAGGGGAGCGGAGAGCTGGGACGGATCCGAACCCCACGGCCGATGGCACGCAGGGCACCGTGCCATTCCTTACCCCCCCCCCGGACGGCACCAGCCCACCTTCCCCCGCGTGGCAAAGCGGTGCCATCGTGCATTGCCAGCAGCGGGGGACAGGATGGGACGGGGGGGGAGAGGGATGGAGGGAGGGGGGGAGATAAATAGCTTAAAAATAATAATAAATTAAAAAAAAAGAGGTGAAGAAAGAGCAAAAAGTGAGAAGAAGAGAGAGAGAGGAGGGAGGGAAGTTGAGGGGAGCGGAGAGCTGGGACGGATCCGAACCCCACGGCCGATGGCACGCAGGGCACCGTGCCATTCCTTACCCCCCCCCCCA